CCCTGGTCCAAATGAAGCCTCTTTGAAATCAGTAGGATTCCACAACATCTCTAGAAGTCCCCATAAATAGAACTCAGTGCATGGTCAGGGTCATACTGTGATCACTCCCAGTTCCCTTGCTGTTATCCTGCGACCCAGTGGGTTATATCATACCATCAAGTTTCAAGCAAAAATCCCCATAGACATCAATTGGGGGTTCTTCATAAAGATCAATGTGGCATGATATGGGCTAGTGCTTTTGATCTTCTCCTGATGTTTTTGGTCTTAATATAGAGTCCAATCTTGTAAATATACAGGTAACTTTACTCCCAAGAGCAATCCCATTGACTTTGATGGTTCTACTCACATGAGTAAAGTTACTCATTGTATATGTGTTTGCAGGTTTGGGTTATAAGACTCCAATCCTGTAACTGCACTGATGCACCCCTTCACCCACATCAATCCCCATAGAGTTCAGTATTACTCCATATAGACACAGCCAGCCAACAGCAGGATTGGGGTCTTGGATTGCAAACTATTCAGGGCAGGGTTTCCTTCTTTATTTGTTTAAAAGGTACCATGCTGAAAAGTGCCATTTGTATTTGAATAATATTTCAAACTACTTTATAAATTGACTGTAAATAATATACAATAGTTACATAGTTGTATAATTAATAATAGCAAGATGGGAAAATAAAGTGACATAAGTAAAGGAGAAGACCCTGTAGTATGACTTAACTGAGCATTGTCCATAGAACAATGTAGATAACCAATGTCATTAATGATGCTGATGTACACAAAAAGGCAGCAAATGAATGTACTCCACCAAAACTACTGGAGAAGAATCAAGTTTTACCAAATGGGAGAGAACAAAGTTAGTAAGCAAATAGATGATATTTTTACTGCATTTAAGATAATCAGTGAATAGAAAAATATCAGATTATCTACTATGAGAAGGAAATAATTTACTTTGTTGGATAGGTTAGAGTCAAAAGTTCCACCTGTCTAACACATATGGTGGTCTTTCTAGAACCTGGGGAAGAAGACATCATAGTTACATGTCGTTAGTAAACTATCTTTTGCTTTTAGTTATGATATACACTTTAGCACATGAGCCAATTCTTTTCTTTGGACTCCATTTGGTCTTTTTATTTTATAGACCTTTAAAAAAGGATATTGTTCAGTGTGTTTGCAGCCCCACCCTAGAATTTGGAAAAGAGCCACAGAAGCCAGTAAAGGCAAACAGAGACCAGTCAAAGACTGCTATCCCCAAGCGTGGAATAGTCATGAGCCAAGCCCTGAAAAATCCTAAGATTGGCTTTACAATAATGAACTTTTTAAAAAATCAGAGTTCTGTTTATTTAACTTCTGACTATTGTATCTTTAGGTTACACTTGAGTTATATTTTCAAGCTTTAGTCCACACTCATGGAGGCTGGAAACTTACTTTAACAAAATTAAAGATGAGGCTTGCACATATTCATATGACTCCAGGAGCTGCTGATGTAGGAAATGGACAAAATCTCACAAGACAAAAAAGTTGGCAAAACAGCGATTAAATCACTAACATGCCACTTGGTCTCTGAACCTTCATTTTGATGTGGAAAATTGATAGGCCGATTTATACTGCATTCTAGGGAGAAAAATCTTTTGAGTTGTGGAGCTGCCTACCAGGAAGACACAAAAATGAGAAGTTTCAAAAACGTTCAGCTGCTTTCTCTAATATTCAATTCTAATATTTCTATAAAATGCTACATATGATAATTTTACATTTATGTCTAAGTTATAGGCCTTGTTAACAAGATGGAATAATCTCTCCCTTGGAAAATCATATTTTATTCTATTTTGAATTCTTTGGGAGCAGTTCTGAAGTCCTTATCCACAACTTACTCAAGCAAAACACCTCTTGAAGCCAATGAGAGTTTTATCAAGATCAAACAGAGAGATTGGCCAAAATGAAAATGTGGATAAAAACACACCTAACCATTGGTGGAGTTTTTGATCTGTTTTGCTTCTCAAAATTTGTTTCTCGAGTAAGATTAAGAAAGGATTTGAGGATTCCTTTCCCTTTATATGGTTGTGGCCTGCTTTACTGTATTTTAATTAAACCCATCTGTGTCTGTTGCTTGTGCTTATTGGATTTTCAAGATATATAATAAAATGCTACTATTCTAAGAAGCATTGTTTCTTCCTCACCCATATCCCTCATCTTCTTGAATTGCCCTGCTGGGTAACTTATTTGTTAGCTGTTCATACAATCTTACCAGGGCCGGTGCAAGGATATTTTGCACCCTAGGTGAAACTTCCACCTTGCGCTCCCCCTCCGATGTCCAGCCCCCACTTTCCTACGGCCAAGTTCCCCCCAGGGCCCAGATGTTCACAAAGTGCAGGGACCACAGGGGGGCTGCAAAGAGGGGGGTCATATGGGGCTCTTCCAAGGGGGTGAAGGTGGCAGAGTGGGGGGTGCATGGGATTGTTGCAGGGGATGGAGGTGGCCAAGAGGTGGAGGGTCAGGGGTGTAGTTGCAGGGAAGAGATTGCACAGAGGCAAAAGGGGCTCATTGCAGGGGGTGCAGTAGCAGGGATGAAGTGGCACAAGGAGAAGTGGGCAGGAGGGGGTTGTTGCAAGGGGCTGGCAGTGGGGAGGGTGTCTGTGCCCAGGGTTGTTGCAGAGGGGTGAAGGTGGCACGGAGGGGTTTGCACAAGGGAGGAGTGGGCAGAAGGGAGATGGAGGGTGGGGGTGGTCCCCAAGGTTGATGCAGGGGTGAAGGTTACCATGGCTGGCTGGGGAGTGGGGGGGGGGTTGCTGGGTGGAGGTTGCCCAGAGGCAAAAGTGGCAGGACAGGGTGGGTTGTTGGGGCTGGAGGTGCACAGGGGAGAAGGTAGCTGGCCGGTGGGTGTTGAAGGGGGTGGCACTGGCTGGGCAAGGGGTGCCTGGGTTGCTCCCACATACACCATTCCCCAGGCCAGGGACTGGACCTAGCCACCGGCCCCCCCGGTGCTCTGCGGGCCCGTGTGGCTCCTTGCGGCCTGGCTAGGTACCTTGCAGAAGGAGTAGACACCCAGTTTCTCCGCCCAAAGAGCAGAGGGCAGCTGCGCCTTCTTCCCCACACTGCGGGCCGAGCCAGGCTCTCTGCCGCCCCTGGGGCTCTCACCGGCGGCACAGGCAGCCAGCCACCCCCCGTGCCTGAGCCTGCTGCTGCCGCCGCCACTAAGAGCCCTAGGGATGGCGGGGAGCCCGACTCGGCCCGTGATATGGGGAAGAAGGCGCAGCTGCTAGCGCTAGACCCTCCCCTTCCCCACTCTGCCGCCAGCTGCTCCCCCGGGGGGACTGGTCACGCCACGGGCAGCCCCACTGGAGCCGGGAGGTGGGGAGCAGCAGCAGCCTTGTGCTCCGCTGTTTAAAAAAAATGTTTGGGGCACCGCTTTTTGGCGCCCCCAACCACTTGGCGCCCTAGGCGGCCGCCTAGTCCACCTAGTGATTGCACCGGCCCTGAATCTTACCCACATAAATTCTCTTCTCCTTGGTTTGCTGTGGAACAGTTACTCTAACTGATTGCCTGCTTTGGGGGATTTCTACTCTGTGGCTGCTTCCTCTGCTAGTCTCTCTTTTTTTCAGAGGAAGAATCCCTTATCTGTCCCTTCCTGACCTCCTTGCATGTCTGACTTCTTACAGGCTGCTTTACTCTTAATTTCTGACCTTCAGCAGCTGTTTATTGTCCCATCCCATGCTGATTCTGCATTTATGGCTGGTGATCTTTTTGGTCTATATGAGTATGTCTACACTGCAATTAAACACCCGCAGCTGGGCTCTGTCAACTGACTTGGGCTTGCAGGGCACAGGCTGTGGGGCTCTAATATTGCTGTGTAGACATTCAGGC